TAGGGGTCCGCGGACCCCCTTTTGGGAACCGTTGGTCTAGTCTATAGTCTAGTCTATAGTCTAGTCTATAGTCTAGTCTATAGTCTAGTCTATAGTCTAGTCTAGTCTAGTCTAGTCTAGTCTATAGTCTAGTCTATAGTCTAGTCTATAGTCTAGTCTATAGTCTAGTCTATAGTCTAGTCTATAGTCTAGTCTATAGTCTAGTCTATAGTCTAGTCTATAGTCTAGTCTATAGTCTAGTCTATAGTCTAGTCTATAGTCTAGTCTATAGTCTAGTCTATAGTCTAGTCTATAGTCTAGTCTATAGTCTAGTCTATAGTCTAGTCTATAGTCTAGTCTATAGTCTAGTCTATAGTCTAGTCTATAGTCTAGTCTATAGTCTAGTCTATAGTCTAGTCTATAGTCTAGTCTATAGTCTAGTCTATAGTCTAGTCTATAGTCTAGTCTATAGTCTAGTCTATAGTCTAGTCTATAGTCTAGTCTATAGTCTAGTCTATAGTCTAGTCTATAGTCTAGTCTATAGTATAGTCTATAGTCTAGTCTATAGTCTAGTCTAGTCTAGTCTATAGTATAGTCTATAGTCTAGTCTATAGTCTAGAAAAAATCCTTACTTATGTACGTGGGCTATTTACTCTTTTTAATTTTTAAAAGACTTTAGACTAAATTATAGACTATAGACTAGACTATAGACTAAATCTTAAAACGAATACTAATTGGGTTCGAACAAAATCAAATTTTATTCCGGTCGGAGAAATGTTAGATTTATTACCAAAATTTTTTGATTCTGACCCACCGTGTAAAGATGATATGGACTACCACCTGACTTCTACAGATGTGAATATCTTTTTATTAAAAAAGTTGACGGAATTAAAATTAAACCAAAAATATGATTCCCTATATTTAAACAATAAAGAAATCTGAAATATTTTCCAATAGGAACAAAAATAAATCTTGTAAACAAACCAATTTCCAATTTGATTACAAAATCTCTGCTTAAAAAAAACAGCTTAATTAGCCTTACCAGAAAAAAACAAAAATAATGTGCAAAAAATGTCTGCGAGAGTAAATGTACATGTTTGAATGAGTGTGTGTGTGTGTTTGATTTTTTTTTTTTACAAAAAAATTGTCTTTTTGTATTTCTGCGACTAGTATTCTTTGTTGTTGTTGTGACACAGTGACCCAATTCAAAGATTCGATTTTCTGGTTTTTCTAATGGACAGTCGGAGTTAAAAAGTAATAGGAAGAATACAAAAACGAAAATTGTTTACAATGGATGCTACCAGCTACAAAACGAAGACAAAGCTGCTGTTTTAAAAGTTATTTGTTTTCCAAAGAATAGAAATTTTAACACAATTCTATTGAAACATGTTTTTTTAGGCAAAACGACAAACCACAAAAGGAGTGTGAAGGAAAAAAATAAGAAAATCAATGTTATTTTTTAAGAGAAACAGCTTAAACAACAACAAAGTTTTTACAATTGAAAAAAAATCTCTCTTTATATACAAAACTTACCGTTATTTTACGTTGCAAAAAAAGGAGGAAGAAACAGATTTCACAATTCCTTGTTATTATTGTTGTTGTTGTAGTTATTTGCAAATTGCAATTGTTTTTGGTTTTTCGTCAATTTTTTTCACAAAAACACACACAAAAATATGCACATAAATAAAGTTGGTTTTTTTAAACAAATTTGCTTGGAACTTTTGCCTTTTTAGGAAGAAAAACAAATCCTTTTTTAATTTTTTTTTATTATTCTAGTTTTAAGAAAAATTCACAATTATTTATTTCTTTTTTCTATTTAACTGATCACAAAAACGTGTGTTACTAGGTTAAGCTTGAATATTTTTTTCACAAAATTTCCTAGGAAAATATTAGAAAAGTGTTTTTTCTTTTGTTTTTGCTTGTAGGCGTCTTAAATTCTTTTTTGTTTAAACTTTTTGTTGTTTTTTTATTTGCAAATTTGGCGCCGTATTTCACTTTGTTAGGTGTTGCGTTTTTAAATTTCTATTTGTTGCTGCTGGAATTTTAAATTTATTTGTGGTTTATAATTAAACTTTTTCTTTTTCTACTTGTGCTGTGAAAACTTTATTTTATTTTGTTTGGTAACAACGTAACACGCGTAAGCTGGCTTGATAACACACTCTTGCAAAGGGGAAAATTCTTATAGTGAAAATTTGTCCATTTTTTTAGCACTAAAAAAACTTTTCTTCTTTAAAGATTTTTCACATTAATTCAGCCGTATTATGGCTGAATCAGGGTTGGATAAAGCAGTACTATTGACATATTGTATCAGTGCAATTTGACAATTGCAACAGTTTAAAGTACAGTAGGAGGAGTTTGAAAACGAAGAAGAAAATAATTGTTTGTTTTTAATTTTATAAAATAACTGTTATATAACATTTAAAAAAACTATTATACCTAATTATTTTATAAATTTTCTTTAGTAGAACTATACACTAGACTATAGAATGGACAATAGAAAAGACTGACTATATACTAGACTATAGACTATTGTCTAGTCTATAGTCTAGTCTATAGTCTAGTCTATAGTCTAGTCTATAGTCTAGTCTATAGTCTAGTCTATTGTCTCGTCTATAGTCTAGTCTATAATCTAGTCTATAATCTAGTCTATAGTCTAGTCTATAGTCTAGTCTATAGTCTAGTCTATAGTATAATCTATAGTCTTGTCTATAGTACAGTCTATACTCTAGTAGTCTAGTCTATAATCTAGTCTATAGTCTAGTCTATAGTCTAGTCTATAGTCTAGTCTATAGTCTAGTCTATAGTCTAGTCTATAGTCTAGTCTATAGTCTAGTCTATAGTCTAGTCTATAGTCTAGTCTATAGTCTAGTCTATAGTCTAGTCTATAGTCTAGTCTATAGTCTAGTCTATAGTCTAGTCTATAGTCTAGTCTATAGTCTAGTCTATAGTCTAGTCTATAGTCTAGTCTATAGTATAATCTATAGTCTTGTCTATAGTACAGTCTATACTCTAGTAGTCTAGTCTATAATCTAGTCTATAGTCTAGTCTATAGTCTAGTCTATAGTCTAGTCTATAGTCTAGTCTATAGTCTAGTCTATAGTCTAGTCTATAGTCTAGTCTATAGTCTAGTCTATAGTCTAGTCTATAGTCTAGTCTATAGTCTAGTCTATAGTCTAGTCTATAGTCTAGTAGTCTAGTCTATAGTCTAGTCTATAGTCTAGTCTATAGTCTAGTCTATAGTCTAGTCTATAGTCTAGTCTATAGTCTAGTCTATAGTCTAGTCTATAGTCTAGTCTATAGTCTAGTCTATAGTCTAGTCTATAGTCTAGTCTATAGTCTAGTCTATAGTCTAGTCTATAGTCTAGTCTAGTCTAGTCTAGTCTAGTCTAGTCTAGTCTAGTCTAGTCTAGTCTAGTCTAGTCTAGTCTAGTCTAGTCTAGTCTAGTCTAGTCTATAGTCTAGTCTAGTCTATAGTCTAGTCTATAGTCTAGTCTATAGTCTAGTCTATAGTCTAGTCCATAGTCTAGTCTATAGTCTAGTCTATAGTCTAGTCTAGTCTATAGTCTAGTCTATAGTCTAGTCTATGGTCTAGTCTATAGTCTAGTCTATTGTCTAGTCTATAGTCTAGTCTATAAACTAGTCTATAATCTAGTCTATAGTCTAGTCTATAGTCTAGTCTATAGTATAATCTATAGTCTTGTCTATAGTCCAGTCTATACTCTAGTAGTCTAGTCTATAATCTAGTCTATAGTCTAGTCTATAGTCTATAGTCTAGTCTATAGTCTAGTCTATAGTCTAGTCTATAGTCTAGTCTATAGTCTAGTCTATAGTCTAGTCTATAGTCTAGTCTAGTCTATAGTCTAGTCTATAGTCTAGTCTAGTCTATAGTCTAGTCTAGTCTATAGTCTAGTCTAGTCTATAGTCTAGTCTAGTCTATAGTCTAGTCTATAATCTAGTCTATAATCTAGTCTAGAGTCTAGTCTATAGTCTAGTCTATAGTATAATCTATAGTCTTGTCTATAGTCCAGTCTATACTCTAGTAGTCTAGTCTATAATCTAGTCTATAGTCTAGTCTATAGTCTAGTCTATAGTCTAGTCTATAGTCTAGTCTATAGTCTAGTCTATAGTCTAGTCTATAGTCTAGTCTATAGTCTAGTCTATAGTCTAGTCTATACTAGTCTATAATCTAGTCTAGAGTCTAGTCTATAGTCTAGTCTATAGTATAATCTATAGTCTTGTCTATAGTCCAGTCTATACTCTAGTAGTCTAGTCTATAATCTAGTCTATAGTCTAGTCTATAGTCTAGCCTATAGTCTAGTCTATAGTCTAGTCTATAGTCTAGTCTATAGTCTAGTCTATAGTCTAGTCTATAGTCTAGTCTATAGTCTAGTCTATAGTCTAGTCTATAGTCCAGTCTATAGTCTAGTCTATAGTCTATTCTATAGTCTAGTGTATAGACTAGTATATAGTCAGTATTTTCTAATGTCCATTCTATAGTCTAGTGTATAGTCTAGTCTATAGTCCTGTCTATACATGCATAACTCTCCAATTTTGCATTAATTTTAACATATAAAATAGTTTTTTTAATCGTAAGTCATTCAGAATATATTAAAAACGCCTAATTTTAAATTAACAATAAATTGCAAAAAAAATTGTACGTGATAAAGTGCTGTCACCTTAATAATAACACCTGCATTCAGCCATATAACAGCTGAATTCTACAAATTTAGGCTGCACAGGTTGGTAGCACTGTTACACATATGTTTTTCACAGGGTTACCAAGGTTTAACTAATATAATTTGTGCTAAAATTATTAACGCAAAGTAAAAGGTAAATTATTCTAAATTATTAGATAATTATACTACGAAAAGTTTATGTATTATAAAACTTACTTTCTTATTAATTTATTTTTCCATTTTTTGCTATATTATCTTTAAAAATATTGTTCATATTTCTTGATTTAAAAATAACGTCTTCCTTCAAGTACAAATATAACCTCTCTGTTTTAATTTGCATCCACTCTCTCTCTCTGTTCTGCACTGTCTGTTTTTGTTTTTACCCACCAGCTGTTTTTTGTTATCATTCTGTTGATTATTCATAAATTATTAAATTTTTGTTTTCTTTTTTCCACAAAATTACTTTAAATTTCAAGAAAATTTCTTTAAAATGGCTTTAGTTGATGTAGATTCTTGGTAAACGAAATTTTTTAATAAAAAACAACTAAATTCTACTTTTTTTTAAACTATTTTTAGGCAAACAGAGTTTGAATCTTGCAAACGCTTGAGCAATACTTTACTATCGCAACTAAACCAAAGGGATGGCAAACAACATTTGTCCGCTGAATACAATCGTTTTACCACAGCCATACAGGTGGGCCTGAGACAACATGATCGTGAGTTGCAGCAACTTAGATTTAAACTAAACGAAGCCGAAAAGAATAAAACACTGTAAATGAAAGGAAAATTTAATATAATTTTTAGTTTTAAATAAAAATGTTTATTCCCATAGATCTGCAGAGGAACTTGTTCAACGAAAACGTTTGTTGGATACTTTACAGACACAACGCCAAAATTTGCAACGTAAATACACTAACACGGCCAATAATGATCGCGCTGCTTTATTAGAAAATCCTAGTTCTTCGGCTGCCGCAGCAGCTAGCGGAGAGGATAGTGATGCTGCACCTATAATAGATGCTCATGATATACAGACTTTAAAACAACAGCAAATTAGTATGCTAGAAGAGCAGAATAGGGGATTGGATACTTTATCTCAAACCTTATCCAGACAAAGACAATTGGCCACACAGTTGGGTCAAGAGGTGGAGGATCAAAATGGTAGGTTTTGAATAGGAAATTGTGTTATAATGATTATGCTTAATTTATGTTTTAGATATTTTGGATAATTTGGCCAATACTATTGAAAGAGTGGAGACGGGTGTTAGTATAGAGACAAGAAATATAGGTTTGGTTAATAGAAGAGATAGTAGTACATGGGGTAAGTACATAACTGTTATACAAAAAATGTGGATATACTTATATGTCGTATCAGTTATGCTTCTTGAAAGCATGTAAATTTTTCTAAAGAACAAGCAAATAAAACATTTTCTAATAACCGATATACTAAAAAGTTCTTGTAGTACTCAATGTAAACCTAATTATAACTTTTAAAATTTCCTTCTTTTCTTATTTATTCCAGGTTACTGGGTGATAATCTTTACTTTAATGGTCATCATTACAGTAGTGGCTGTTTTGTAATTTAGCAATGACGTAAATATCAACTCAACTCCCACTAATTGTTGCTTGTCTTGTAGTTTGTAAGGTATTTTTTTATACATACATGTATGTTTGTGTCTTATTAATTAGTTAATTCCAAAGCTAAAGTATACCTAAAGGAGTGTAACGTATTTGTATGATAATTATTTAATCAAAATAATATTAATCTTTTATTAATTAAGTTGTACTATTAACTATTATGTAAAATAAATTTCAATGTTTGTAAAATATGAATAGATATTTTACAGCATTTATAATAAAAGTATAATCATAAATAGATTTTTGTTTACAATTGGAAAGTTTTGAAATACAATAGGTAATGTTATAGTCCTATGATTTGTGAACATGTGACGTAACTATTTTGTAGTTAATTTTGATTCAAATTGGGTTTTTAGTCCAGTGACAGGTATAGTTTACTCTCTATAAGTTCATTGATCCTACATTTAATGAGAATATTATATGAGAATAAATTAGAATAAATTCCAGGCTCCTGGTTATGCGCAAGTATAGTAAATAATCATCTGCTCAACATCGATTTTTCAAAATTAACTTCAAATTCTTTACTCCACTATGGACTTTGTCCATTTAAAACCCAAACATATATGTAAATTTTATATTTATGTAATTTATTGGAAAATTCTTTAAGAATTTTTCCTTTTTTTATTTTGTTTTATAATTTAACACTACATCGATCGTTTAAATACAACTTCACTAGATTTATTAACTGGATCAGCTCTTCCAAGTATAATTTAAAACATCTATAGATTTTGTATTTTCTTTGTTTTTTCATTAAAAAGGTTTAGCCTTCAATTTGGTTTTATCTTGGTTTGTTTTACAATTTATGAATTACATTAATATTAAATTAGATTAGATGAAAATTTCAAAACAACACAGCAGTTTTTTTTTTTTTTGTTACAGGATTTAAGCCAAATCAGAGGCATAGGGGACATGGGCCAAATTGCCAACAGCACCTACAGACAATTTGGAGGAACCGGCCTTCTTGGCAGCTTGTTGGACATCTTGCAAAGAAATACCATCGATGGCAGAGACTAAAGCATCAGCGCTTTGTACTTGTTGGGTGAGAACAGCTTGCAAACCCATTTCGCCAATGAGAGAGCTGTCGGTAGCATAAGCTTCCAAGACGGCAGCCTTAAGAAGAGCCTTGCCACGGTTGACATCATCGGAGGAAACGGTGCCAGATTTAAGGGCACGGGCAACGGCTTCAACAGCTTTGCCGGCATGTTGGGCATCGGTGGAGACAACAAAACCGAAAAGACCGGCATCAGCATAGCTGGCATTCAAGGCAGCGAAGGAAACGTTGGCATCACCTACAGCGGACATGACAGCTTTGCCGAAGGGACCATTGATGGCACCACGCTTGGTGACAGGGCAGGCACCGACAGCATGTTGGAGTACGGCAAAGGCCAAAGCTTCCTTGGCATTGCTGACAGCACCACCAAGACCAGCAACGGCAACATGAGCTACATTACCGGGAGTATCCTTGCGGGCATCACCACCATAGTAGTTGGCAGATTCGCTGCCAGATTTGCCACCACTAGCCAATTCCAAGCTTTGGGCGAAGCCAACCAAAGCGGTTTGATCGACACCAACACCGACAACAGCACAACGGGCAGCTGTGCAGTTGTTGGCTACATAGTGCAACAAAGTTTCAGGAGACAATTTGCCAATTTGGAATTTGGGAATGTACACGGAGTTACCCAAACCGGTGCGGAAGGCAGCTTTGTGCAATAATTCAACGGCACGGACCTACAATTTTCAATATTTTACTATATAACCAGAATATTGCTTTAATTTTTAAAAACAAACCTGTGGAGGCACGTTGGCAACTTGAGTCTTGACCAAGGGCAAAACATCGTTCAATTCCCAGGGTTTGAAGGCGGGTTGAATGACATCTTGCAAGTAGCGCAAACCAGTTTCCAAATGATTGGCAGTAGTTTCAACGGTATAGGCAACAACTTCACGATCAGAAGTAACAGTCAAGGCACCACCCTTCTGTTGAATGTTGCGGGTAACAGCGAAACCGGAGCTATTCTTGTTGGTCAAGCCAGCAGCCACACGCAACATGTGAGAGGCACCCTGGGTGTCGTAGGTTTCGTTACGGGAACCAGCACTAAAATTTTGGGAAAAATAATATAACTCCAATTGCTTTTATTGTTTTGAAGGAAATCACCTACCGGAATACTACGGAAACACGAGATACAGGCAATTGAGCTTCAGCCGAAGCAACAACAACTTTGTTGTCCAATTGTTTGCATTCCACACTGGCAGCTTGTCCTACTGGTCTGGGACAGGCAGTGGCAGAATAACCGCGTTTCTTTTAAAGCACACAATAAACAAAATATAATAATTATTTACCATTTAAACTAGTAGGGAAAAAATTTCAGTTCATGGTTACGTTTCTCTAACATTTACGTAACCATGCTTAAGGCGACTCACTCAACCAGACTTTTTCTAAGTTTTTACACATATTTTGTTTAAAAATTTCTTTACTTACAGCAATAACACGCAACAAGGGAACTTTGCTAGCGTTGCAAGCCATTTTTATTAGTTGTTTGATTTAATTTATTTCAAAGAATTATGTGCTAAAGTTTAAGCTACTCGGAAAATTCCCCCTCCTGAAGAAAAAACTAAAATTTTTTTCTTCTCTCGGCTCGTTTCTGGCAAAGTACTGACAACTTGTAAATGCTAAAATTGTCTATTTGACGTTTAATGTCAAATTAGCTGAGACAACCACCTGCAAACAATTTTATAACAATGGGGCAACTCTTACAAGAAAATGTTTTTTTCGTATATGCAATTTGGTAATGGCAAGGAATGTCTTTAAGTTTTTAGAATGTCAAATCGCTAATGAAAAAAAAAAATGGACATTTATTGAAACCACATAGAAATATTTTCGCTAATTCCACTCTGCTGTCACCTTAGTCAAATCAGCCAATGCTGAGCACGACACACAAACATGTGTATTTTTATGAGTTCAGAAATTCTAGGACATTTTAACAATTTCGCGCGCACATATAAAAATAATCATTTTTAGACAATGGCTGCGCCAATAATCGATTCCTAAAATAATTATCTCTATTTTTATAACTTTTTTGGCACAACAATATCTTAATAATAAAAATTTGCACCATATACCATGTTAATGGCAGTGGCAACCCAATATATCGGTTCATATTACAATTATCTTTCAAAATTCATATAACTTTTTTTGGGCAAAAAAATCTGATCGATTTGAGAATCAACGGATCAAATAGTGAATCATATAATTGGCTAATTTTTAGATAGTAACAACTAGGGTTCTATAAATCGATTTTCGAATAATCGAACAATCGACTTTTTGTCGAAAAAAGTCGAAAAGTCGAAGTCGACTATTTTGTTCCAAAAAAGTCGATAACTCGACTATCGTCTATGAAAAAAGTCGAAAAGTCGACTTTGTAAATAAAAGTCGAAAAGTCGGAAAGTCGAAAAAAGTCGAAAAATCGAAAAAAGCCGAAAAAAGTCGAAAAGTCGGAAAAAGTCGAAAAGTCGGAAAGTCGAAAAGTCGAAAATAGTCGAAAATTTTAAAAAAGTGGAAAAGAGGTCAAAAACTCTAAAATAGTCGGAAAAACTCGAAAAAAGTAAAAAATAGTCGAAAAAGTCGAAAAAAAGTCGAAATAAGTCGAAAATAGTCAAAAAGTCGTAAAAAATCGAAAAGTCGGAAAAAGTCGAAAAGTTGAAAAAAGTCGGAAAAAGTCGAAAAAAGTCGAAAAAAGTCGAAAAAAGTCGAAAAGTCGAAAAAAGTCGGAAAAAGTCGAAAAGTCGAAAAAAGTCGAAAAAAGTCGGAAAAGTCGGAAAAAGTCGGAAAAAGTCGAAAAGTCGACCATTTATAAAATACTAAAAGTCGAAAAGTCTAAAAGTCGACTTTTAAATAAATGAAAAAGGTCGAAAAGTCGAAAAATCGACTTTTCATAAAATGGAAAAAGTCGAAAGGTCGAAAAGTCGACTTTTAACTAAATGCAAAAAGTCGAAAAGTCGACTTTTCGTTTCAACTATAGAACCCTAGTAACAACACTATAAATCGTGACAGAAAAAGTATAGGCATTTTAATACCATTTTTGGTGATTACTTTTTTGTACAACTGTTCAAGTAAAATAGTTATCGGTTTGTTTTCTTCACGCTCGTCGCAGGTAAAATGTCAAAACAATTGTCAATTCTTATTGTTTTTGTTTTGTGTAGTCATTCTGAAAAAAATACTTCACTGTGAAAAAGTGAATACGGAAAATTTTATTACAGAGGAGAAAAAAAAACATAAAAGTGTTAAATTAAGTGTAAAAATTATAAATAATTTGTAAAAATTATTACAAAATAAAGCAAAAAGTTTAATTCTTAAAAAACAAAAGAAATTATATGTCATTCTTAAAAATATAAGTGTTAATTTGTAGTCTAAAAAAAAAACAAACCCAAAAAAGACACAAAAAATGGCTTCATTTTTTAATGTGGGTACCAACCCATTTTCTACGCCTGTTGGCCAAAGGATTGGTAAGTTTTTTACATATTTTTCTTTTTTCATATTTAATTAATTTCAAAATTTCTGCAGTATATGTCTTTTGTTATTACGTTGTTGTTTTTGCTGATCTTGTTTTTTTAGAATATATAATTTAAAGCCTAATTTTGTACGTCTGGTTGTTTTTTTCCCAACATTTCCAATACCAGCTGTAGTTGAAGAAATTGAATTTTCACCATTTCTCTGTGTGCACTTTCAATTACTCATTTTTTTATGTTCAGGTGCAATAACAATAATAATAATAATACAAATTGTTGTTGTTTTGACTTTGTGTGTTTTTTGTTTGTCTCCATATTTGTTGTTTTTTATCAAAGTTCATTTCTTTTTTATTGTTGTTTTCACGCTACCATATGTTTGATAGTGCTTTTTAGTTTCTGCTTAAGTTTGTAACATGTTTTTTCTGTAGAGCAAATGTTTATAATAGAGAAATAAATCGCAAAGAAAACGTCTGTATCTTAAATAGAATTTATATAAAAAATTATATATCTATAATAGACGCCTTTCTAAAGAAAAATTCTCTATAAAAGGGATTTCTTTGTCAAAATTTGTGTAAATTTTGTTTTATAAACATTTAATAGAATAAAACTGCTGCTTAATATAGGAATGAGTCTATAACTAACTAAAAGATTTCTGTATTTTAGTCTAGTTGTGTTCTCCTTCACTAGTGGCTATGATGGAAATCGAACTCACGACCTCCGGTGTGACAGATTAGAACACTAACTACTAAACTATCGGATACACTCTTTTATTTCTTATAATGTACGATAGTTTCCATATGTTTCTATAAAAACAATTTTTAACAAATTTGTTTAAAAACGCTGATGTTTATCAACCCATTAAATGTTCTAGTCTGAAGGTTTGTTAAAATATAGTTAGTACTGTTTGTTCTTGACCAATTGCTGTTGCGTTTTATTTTTTTGGTGGTCGGTTTGTTGATGGTGTTGTTGTTAAATATCATGTCTTTTATGTTTATGGTTATTAATATATCTGTATTAACCTCAATATGAAAAGGTTTTTTTTGTTAATAATTGATATGTACAAAATACAATTTTAGTTAAAGCAACAAATATGAAGAGAAATAAAGTCGTATATGGAAATTAAAACAGAAAATCTGTGAAATTATGTATAATCTAAGCAACAGTCAGGTTAATAATATAGTCTAGTCTATGATCTAGTCTAAAGTCTAGTCTACAGCCTATTCTACTCTATAGTTTAGCTTATAGGCTAGAGTATAGAGTAGTCTTTAGTATAGCCTATAGGCAAGATTATAGAGTGATCTATAGTTTAGCCTATAGGCTAGAGTATAGAGTAGTCTATATAGCTGGAGTAGTCTAGTTTATAGTCTAGTCTATAGTCTAGTATATAGTCTAGTTTATAGTCTAGTAATAGTCTAGTCTATAGTCTAGTCTATAGTCTAGTCTATAGTCTAGTCTATAGTCTAGTCTATAGTCTAGTCTATAGTCTAGTCTATAGTCTAGTCTGTAGTCTAGTCTATAGTCTAGTCTATAGTCTAGTCTATAGTCTATAGTCTAGTCTATAGTCTAGTCTATAGTCTAGTCTATAGTCTAGTCTATAGTCTAGTCTATAGTCTAGTCTATAGTCTAGTCTATAGTCTAGTCTATAGTCTAGTCTATAGTCTAGTCTATAGTCTAGTCTATAGTCTAGTCTATAGTCTAGTCTATAGTCTAGTCTATAGTCTAGTCTATAGTCTAGTCTATAGTCTAGTCTATAGTCTAGTCTATAGTCTAGTCTATAGTCTAGTCTATAGTCTAGTCTATAGTCTAGTCTATAGTCTAGTCTATAGTCTAGTCTATAGTCTAGTCTATAGTCTAGTCTATCTAGTCTAGTCTATAGTCTAGTCTATAGTCTAGTCTATAGTCTAGTCTATAGTCTAGTCTATAGTCTAGTCTATAGTCTAGTCTATAGTCTAGTCTATAGTCTAATCTATAGTCTAGTCTATAGTCTAGTCTATAGTCTAGTCTATAGTCTAGTCTATAGTCTAGTCTATAGTCTAGTCTATAGTCTAGTCTATAGTCTAGTCTATAGTCTAGTCTATAGTCTAGTCTATAGTCTAGTCTATAGTCTAGTCTATAGTCTAGTCTATAGTCTAGTCTATAGTCTAGTCTATAGTCTAGTCTATAGTCTAGTCTATAGTCTAGTCTATAGTCTAGTCTATAGTCTAGTCTATAGTCTAGTCTATAGTCTAGTCTATAGTCTAGTCTATAGTCTAGTCTATAGTCTAGTCTATAGTCTAGTCTATAGTCTAGTCTATAGTCTAGTCTATAGTCTAGTCTATAGTCTAGTCTATAGTCTAGTCTATAGTCTAGTCTATAGTCTAGTCTATAGTCTAGTCTATAGTCTAGTCTATAGTCTAGTCTATAGTCCTAGTCTATAGTCTAGTCTATAGTCTAGTCTATAGTCTAGTCTATAGTCTAGTCTATAGTCTAGTCTATAGTCTAGTCTATAGTCTAGTCTATAGTCTAGTCTATAGTCTAGTCTATAGTCTAGTCTATAGTCTAGTCTATAGTCTAGTCTATAGTCTACTCTATAGTCTACTCTATAGTCTAGTCTATAGTCTAGTCTATAGTCTAGTCTATAGTCTAGTCTATAGTCTAGTCTATAGTCTAGTCTATAGTCTAGTCTATAGTCTAGTCTATAGTCTAGTCTATAGTCTAGTCTATAGTCTAGTCTATAGTCTAGTCTATAGTCTAGTCTATAGTCTAGTCTATAGTCTAGTCTATAGTCTAGTCTATAGTCTAGTCTATAGTCTAGTCTATAGTCTAGTCTATAGTCTAGTCTATAGTCTAGTCTATAGTCTAGTCTATAGTCTAGTTTATAGTCTAGTCTATAGTCTAGTTTATAGTCTAGTCTATAGTCTAGTCTATAGTCTAGTCTAGTCTAGTCTATAGTCTAGTCTATAGTCTAGTCTATAGTCTAGTCTGTAGTCTAGTCTATAGACTAGACTATAGACTTGTCGATTGTATAGTTGACAATCTGATCGATAAACTATTCTATAATCTTGTCGAATTTCCACAGTCTATTCGATAGAACAGTCTATTCGAAATTCTAGTCGATAATTTGATCGGTAGTCTCGTCTTTAGTCTATCATTTTATTGAATGGTAATTGTATCCTCATTTTTCGGGTGAAGGTTGTGTTTAATGAATGAATCAAAGTTTCTTATCTAAAAATAATTGTACATGCCTTTTGTAATTAACCAAACTATGTATGTATATCATTATAGAGCTATTTCGATATCGATTAAAATGTTTTTGTTGTTCAATAAAGCCCTTACGTACAACTTGAATAATTTATATCAAATTTTTCGTAAACAAAACCAAATTATTCTTATAATTTCTACTTATAATTAAAACAGCTTATGAGGGAAAAATAAGAAAACATATTGTTTACCAAAATTGCAAATTTTCATAAAAAATGCTAATTTTATTTCCAAGAAATTAAAAGTAAATAAATAATATAAAAGAAACTGAAACAAAACACTTGTTTATACTTTCGTTTAATTGTTAATATAATTTTGTTATGGTTTTACTATTTATTGTTTAAGAAAGTTATAATAATATGATTCTATAAAAAGAAATTTCTTAAAATGTTTTTTGTTTCTTCATAAAATATAATTCTTTGTTTTATTTTTGTTGCTATTGTTGCTATCTTAATTAAGTCTTAATGAAATTCAACTTATGACAATGGATTTATTATTGTAATCTAATCTTTAGTTGTAAAATATAACAAAATACTTTTTTAATATAAACAAAAGAAATTCAATTTTCTTATTTATAAAATCTAGCTAAAATTTTCTTTTGTTCTTGAACTTTATAAAAATTCAAAGAAAATATTTTGATCTACAAATTTTGTCTATTTTGCAAATAGGTACATTTCAAAATATTTAACTCATTTATTTTCAAAATATATTTACTAAGTGAGTGATTAACAAATCTTGTTTAAATGCATTATGAAAATGAATAATTATTATAATTCATATTAAAATCATTCCAAATTTTAAACCAAGCGCAACAATTTAATAACATTTCACTGTTATTTGTCTTCCATACGTAGACGTTTGATTTTTTTTTATGTAATCATCAACCATTAAACCGCTGAACTACAAATACTGTAGCAAAATGAAAACGCCAGTAATAAATACTGAAAATCAGTCAGTGCCTCTACTGCTTACGATGACTAATATATTGTTTGGAATGAAATGTATTTTGTTTTCTTCTTTTATATTTAGTTCAATATTGAGAGATATGTAGGTACACGGTAAAAAATATGACTGATAAAAGAAGCCGGTAAGAAACTTTTATAAGCAAATATACTACGGCCTGATTTCTATGCGCATTTGTTCCATTCAAAGACTATAGACTATACTATAGACTAGACTATAGACTGGACTATAGACTAGACTATAGACTAGACTATAGACTAGACTATAGACTAGACTATAGACAAGACTATAGACTAGACTATAGACTAGACTATAGACTAGACTATAGACTAGACTATAGGCTAGACTATAGACTAGACTATAGACTAGACTATAGACTAGACTATAGACTAGACTATAGACTAGACTATAGACTAGACTATAGACTAGACTATAGACTAGACTATAGACTAGACTATAGACTAGACTATAGACTAGACTATAGACTAGACTATAGACTAGACTATAGACTAGACTATAGACTAGACTATAGACTAGACTATAGACTAGACTATAGACTAGACTATAGACTAGACTATAGACTAGACTATAGACTACACTATAGACTAGACTATAGACTAGACTATAGACTAGACTATAGACTAGACTATAGACTAGACTATAGACTAGACTATAGACTAGACTATAGACTAGACTATAGACTAGACTATAGACTAGACTATAGACTAGACTATAGACTAGACTATAGACTAGACTATAGACTAGACTATAGACTAGACTATAGACTAGACTATAGACTAGACTATAGACTAGACTATAGACTAGACTATAGACTAGACTATAGACTAGACTATAGACTAGACTATAGACTAGACTATAGACTAGACTATATAGACTAGACTATAGACTAGACTATAGACTAGACTATAGACTAGACTATAGACTAGACTATAGACTAGACTATAGACTAGACTATAGACTAGACTATAGACTAGACTATAGACTAGACTATAGACTAGACTATAGACTAGACTATAGACTAGACTATAGACTAGACTATAGACTAGACTATAGACTAGACTATAGACTAGACTATAGACTAGACTATAGACTAGACTATAGACTAGACTATAGACTAGACTATAGACTAGACTATAGACTAGACTATAGACTAGACTATAGACTAGACTATAGACTAGACTATAGACTAGACTATAGACTAGATACTATAGACTATAGATAGACTAGACTATAGACTAGACTAGACTATAGACTAGACTATAGACTAGACTAGACTATAGACTAGACTAGACTATAGACTAGACTATAGACTAGACTATAGACTAGACTATAGACTAGACTATAGACTAGACTATAGACTAGACTATAGACTAGACTATAGACTAGACTATAGACTAGACTATAGACTAGACTATAGACTAGACTATAGACTAGACTATAGACTAGACTATAGACTAGACTATAGACTAGACTATAGACTAGACTATAGACTAGACTATAGACTAGACTATAGACTAGACTATAGACTAGACTATAGACTAGACTATAGACTAGACTATAGACTAGACTATAGACTAGACTATAGACTAGACTATAGACTAGACTATAGACTAGACTATAGACTAGACTATAGACTAGACTATAGACTAGACTATAGACTAGACTATAGACTAGACTATAGACTAGACTATAGACTAGACTATAGACTAGACTATAGACTAGACTATAGACTATAGACTAGACTATAGACTAGACTATAGACTAGACTATAGACTAGACTATAGACTAGAGATAGACTAGACTATAGACTAGACTATAGACTAGACTATAGACTAGACTATAGACTAGACTATAGACTAGACTATAGACTAGACTATAGACTAGACTATAGACTAGACTTAGACTAACTATAGACTAGACTATAGACTAGACTATAGACTATACTAGACTATAGACTAGACTATAGACTAGACTATAGACTTAGACTAGACTAGACTATAGACTAGACTATAGACTAGACTATAGACTAGACTATAGACTAGACTATAGACTAGACTATAGACTAGATATAGACTAGACTATAGACTAGACTATAGACTAGACTATAGACTATAGACTAGACTATAGACTAGACTATAGACTAGACTATAGACTAGACTATAGACTAGACTATAGACTAGACTATAGACTAGACTATAGACTAGACTATAGACTAGACTATAGACTAGACTATAGACTAGACTATAGACTAGACTATAGACTAGACTATAGACTAGACTATAGACTAGACTATAGACTAGACTATAGACTAGACTATAGACTAGACTATAGACTAGACTATAGACTATAGACTAGACTATAGACTAGACTATAGACTAGACTATAGACTAGACTATAGACTAGACTATAGACTAGACTATAGACTAGACTATAGACTAGACTATAGACTAGACTATAGACTAGACTATAGACTAGACTATAGACTAGACTATAGACTAGACTATAGATAGACTAGACTATAGACTAGACTAGACTAGACTATGACTAGACTAGACTATAGACTAGACTATAGACTAGACTATAGACTAGACTAGACTAGACTATAGACTAGACTATAGACTAGACTATAGACTAGACTATAGACTAGACTATGACTAGACTATAGACTAGACTATAGACTAGACTATAGACTATAGACTAGACTATAGACTAGACTATAGACTAGACTATAGACTAGACTATAGACTAGAGACTATAGACTAGACTATAGACTAGACTATAGACTAGACTATAGACTAGACTATAGACTAGATAGAGACTATAGACTAGACTAGACTATAGACTAGACTAGACTATAGACTAGACTAGACTATAGACTAGACTACTATAGACTAGACTAGACTATAGCCTAGACTATAGACTAGACTATAGACTAGACTATAGACTAGACTATAGACTAGACTATAGACTAGACTAGACTATAGACTAGACTATAGACTAGACTATAGACTAGACTATAGACTAGACTATAGACTATAGACTAGACTATAGACTAGACTATAGACTAGACTATAGACTAGACTATAGACTAGACTATAGACTAGACTATAGACTAGACTATAGACTAGACTATAGACTAGACTACTAGACTATAGACTAGACTATAGACTAGACTATAGACTAGACTATAGACTAGACTATAGACTAGACTATAGACTAGACTATAGACTAGACTATAGACTAGACTATAGACTAGACTATAGACTAGACTATAGACTAGACTATAGACTAGACTATAGACTAGACTATAGACTAGACTATAGACTAGACTATAGACTAGACTATAGACTAGACTATAGACTAGACTATAGACTAGACTATAGACTAGACTATAGACTAGACTATAGACTAGACTATAGACTAGACTATAGACTAGACTATAGACTAGACTATAGACTAGACTATAGACTAGACTATAGACTAGACTATAGACTAGACTAGACTAGATTATAGACTAGACTATAGACTAGACTATAGACTAGACTATAGACTAGACTATAGACTAGACTATAGACTAGACTATAGACTAGACTATAGACTAGACTATAGACTACACTATAGACTAGACTATAGACTAGACTATAGACTAGACTATAGACTAGACTATAGACTAGACTATAGACTAGACTATAGACTAGACTATAGACTACACTATAGACTACACTATAGACTAGACTATAGACTAGACTATAGACTAGACTATAGACTAGACTATAGACTAGACTATAGACTAGACTATAGACTAGACTATAGACTAGACTATAGACTAGACTATAGACTAGACTATAGACTAGACTATAGACTAGACTAGACTAGACTATAGACTAGACTATAGACTAGACTATAGACTAGACTATAGACTAGACTATAGACTAGACTATAGACTATAGACTAGACTATAGACTAGACTATAGACTAGACTATAGACTAGACTATAGACTAGACTATAGACTAGACTATAGACTAGACTATAGACTAGACTATAGACTAGACTATAGACTAGACTATAGACTAGACTATAGACTAGACTATAGACTAGACTATAGACTAGACTATAGACTAGACTATAGACTAGACTATAGACTAGACTATAGACTAGACTATAGACTAGACTATAGACTAGACTATAGACTAGACTATAGGACTAGACTATAGACTAGACTATAGACTAGACTAGATAGACTAGACTATAGACAGACTATAGACTAGACTATTAGACTAGACTATAGACTAGACTATAGACTAGACTATAGACTAGACTATAGACTAGACTATAGACTAGACTATAGACTAGACTATAGACTAGACTATAGACTAGACTACTGACTAGGCTATAGACTAGACTAAAGGCTAGGCTATAGACTAGACTATAGACTAGTCTATAGACTAGATTATAGACTATATTATGGACTAGACTTTATTTTGAACTGAAAAATTTCCAAAATATTGAAATTGAATATAATTCCATTTAAACTTTAATATACTTTTTCAGTAAACTTGTTAATTATGGAAAAATATTTAGCTCTATTTAAAAAAATATTGAAGACTTTTTCAAGTGCTAATTTTTAAATATTACATTTAAATATGTGTTAATTAAATGGTATACAAAAATACTTTGTATAAATGTATTTTATGCTAAAAAGTTAATTAAACATTAATTTTTATGTTATCTGTTTAGAACAAGCCACCGATGCATCTTTAGCATCTGAAAACTGGGCTCTCAATATGGAAATCTGCGATATGATCAATGAATCTTCCGATACAGCACGTGATGCCATGAAAGCCATACGTAAACGTTTACAACAGAATGCTGGTAAAAATAATCAAGTCATTATGTTTACCCTGATTGTCTTAGAGACTTGTGTTAAGAATTGTGGCAAAGCGTTTCCATGTGCTAGTGGCTCAAAAAGACTTTATACAAGAATTGGTTAAATTGATAGGTCCGAAAAATGATCCACCCATGGTGGTGCAGGAAAAAGTACTCAGTCTTATACAGACTTGGGCAGATGCGTTTAAAAATCAACCAGATTTGAATGGGGTAACACAAATGTATACCGAACTAAAGAATAAGGGTATTGAATTCCCACAGCCAGATGCTGAAAATATGGCTCCCATATATACACCTCAAAGGGTAAGAGAAACAAGAAGGTATTGAAAAAGATGGATAACTATTTCATGGTTTTGTTTTATAGAGTGTTCCCGAGCAGCCACCACCTCAGGTTATGAGTCAACCTGCTGCTGTATCACCACAACATCCCATTATGACCGGAGCAGCTTTACCGGTAAGATTTATAGATCAATATCTGTAAAATTTTATATAAATTTAAAATTTTTCTTTAGGCTGCTGGTCCCACACAACTCTCGGCAGAACAAATTGCTAAATTACACTCTGAATTGGAAATTGTATCGATGAACATGTCGATTTTAGGTGAAATGTTGACAGAACTTAACCGGGCCAAGAGGAACCGGATGATTATCAATTACTCAATGATTTAACAGCTACATGCAAGTAAGTATTATTAAACGAGAAATCAAGACTAGCAAAATGTAAAGTATTTACTAGTCTACTACTACAGCCAATCGTTTACCTTAATTCTCTTTTCTTCACAGAGAAATGCAATCACGTATTGTTGATCTAATTGGTCGTGTTACCGATGATGAACTGACCGCTGAATTGCTACGCATCAATGATGAGTTAAACAACTTGTTCTTGCGTCATCAACGTTATGAGAAGAATCGTGCCAGTCACACTGGTGTCACTTCACCATCAGCAGTTTTAGGCGCTGCCATTGGTATACCACCACCATCGAATGCAGCTACGGTTGGTGCAGCTGCTGCAGGTGGTGCTGCCGCCGCTGAATCACCAAAATTATTAGATTTTCCCGATAGTAATAAAGATGATTTGTTAAATAGTTTTAGTCGTTTAGGTATGGAGACTTGAAGTAATGGTAAAAACTTAATTTATTAATTTATTTTGCTTATTTAAAGGTGTCAGTAATACAACGAAACCAACAGCCAAGGATGCCGATGAATTTGATATGTTGGCACAATCTCGCACTAATGGCAACAAGTAAGTTAAACAAATCTAATTAAATTCGAAATTTGATAATGTTGGATTTCGATGTCTGAACTATATTCTTGCCTATAGAATGGACTATAGTCTTGTCTATAGTCTGGACTACAGTCTTGTCTATAGTGTGAACTATAGTCTTGTCTATAGTGTGGACTATAGTCTTGTCTATAGTGTGGACTATAGCTTTGTCTTTAGTCTAGACTATAGTCTTGTCTATACTCTGGACTATTGTCTTGTCTATAGTCTGGACTATAGTCTTGTCTATAGTGTGGACTATAGTCTTGTCTATACTCTGGACTATTGTCTTGTCTATAGTCTGGACTATAGTCTGGATAATAGTCTAGTCTATAGTCTGGACTATAGTCTTGTCTATAGTCTGGACTATAGTCTTGTCTATAGTCTGGACTATAGTCTTGTCTATAGTCTGGACTATAGTCTTGTCTATAGTCTGGACTATAGTCTTGTCTATAGTTTGGACTATAGTCTTGTCTATAGTCTGGACTATAGTCTTGTCTATAGTCTGGACTATAGTCTTGTCTATAGTCTGGACTATAGTCTTGTCTATAGTCTTGTCTATAGTCTGGACTATAGTCTTGTCTATAGTCTGGACTATAGTCTTGTCTATAGTCTGGACTATAGTCTTGTCTATAGTCTTGTCTATAGTCTGGACTATAGTCTTGTCTATAGTCTGGACTATAGTCTTGTCTATAGTCTGGACTATAGTCTTGTATATAGTCTGGACTATAGTCTGGACTATAGTCTGGACTATAGTCTGGGACTATAGTCTGGACTATAGTCTTTGTCTATAGTCTGAACTATAGTCTGGATAATAGTCTAGTCTATAGTCCTGGATAATAGTCTAGTCTATAGTCTGGACTATAGTCTTGCCTATAGTCTGGACTGTAGTCTTGCCTATAGTCTGGACTGTAGTCTTGTCTATAGTCTGGACTATAGTCTTGTCTATAGTTTGGACTATAGTCTGTCTATAGTCTGGACTATAGTCTTGTCTATAGTCTGAACTATAGTCTTGTCTATAGTCTGAACTATAGTCTTGTCTATAGTCTGGACTATAGTCTTGTCTATAGTCTGGACTATAGTCTTGTCTATAGTCTGGACTATAGTCTTGTCTATAGTCTGGACTATAGTCTTGTCTATAGTCTGGACTATAGTCTTGTCTATAGTCTGGACTATAGTCTTGTCTATAGTCTGGACTATAGTCTTGTCTATAGTCTGGACTATAGTCTTGTCTATAGTCTGGACTATAGTCTTGTCTATAGTCTGGACTATATCTTGTCTATAGTTGGACTATAGTCTTGTCTATAGTCTGGACTATAGTCTTGTCTTTAGTCTGGACTATAGTGTTGTCTATAGTCTGGACTATAGTGTTGTCTATAGTCTGGACTATAGTTTGGATAATAGTCTAGTCTATAGTCTGGACTATTGTCTTGTCTATAGTCTGGACTATAGTTTTGTCTATAATCTGGACTATAGTTTTGTCTACAGTCTGGACTATAGTTTTGTCTATAGTCTGGACTATAGTCTTGTCTATAGTCTGGACTATAGTCTTGTCTATACTCTGGACTATAGTTTTGTCTATAATCTGGACTATAGTTTTGTCTATAGTCTGTACTATAGTTTTGTCTATAGTCTGGACTATAGTCTTGTCTATAGTCTGGACTATAGTCTTGTCTATAGTCTATACTATAGTTTTGTCTATAATCTGGACTATAGTTTTGTCTATAGTCTGGACTATAGTTTTGTCTATAGTCTGGATTATAGTCTGGATAATAGTCTAGTCTATAGTCTGGACTATAGTCGTGTCTATTGACTAGACTATAGTCTTGTCTATAGTGTGGACTATAGTCTTGTCTATAGTCTGGACTATAGTCTTATCTATTATCGAGACTATAATATATTTGTAATAAAAATTTCACTACAATATCACCGCAATATCGAAATCTCACTGAAATATCGAATTATTGAAGTTTTAGCAAAATTTCGTCGAAAATTTAAAATTTTTCTGAAATATTGATATTTCACAAAAATATCGAAATTTTACTGAAATATTGAAATTTTAAATAAATATCGTAATACGAAAAAAATATTGAAATTTATCAAAATTTTCTCAAAATATGGAAAGTTATCAAAATTTCGCAATTTGAAATATTAAAATTTCACAAAAATGTCAAAATTTCATTAAAATATTGAAATTTTGAAAAATATCCAAATTTCACCAAAGTTTCTCTAAATATCGAAATTTCGTCAAAATATCGAAATTTTACCGAAATATTGAAATTTCTTCGAAATTAAAAATATGTATAAATATTTAAAATATTCGAATAATCGATATTTTTAATATCACTGAAATTCTTTACAAATTGTAACACTTTCTTTTTCTAGCAAAAGTGATTTATTAAAAGACATTCCAACATTGGACGCCACCGCTGGCAGTTTGGGATCACCCTTTAAACGTCCCGGCAACAATATGCCGGTGGTAAGTAAAGTGAGTATTGCTAAAGATTTCATAAGAAACTAATATTTCTTTTCATTATTATTTTTCCTTTATTATATAAATATATTTTTTTTATAAATATTTCTTTTTTTACAAATTGGCAAAATATATTTTACAAAAATTTTAATCAATTATTTTTTTTTAATTTTTTTCTAATTTAAAATGGCTTTTTTAAAAAACTTGTGTTAAAAAAAACAAAAAAAAAAAAAAACTTTAACTTTATGTTTGGATTTTATGTTTTTGATGAAAATGAAATATAAATTATTTTGGTTTAAAATATAAAAAATACAAAACAAAAAAGCCTGCTAAAGAAAATGAGATCGATGAGATGGAAGAATGGTTAGGCAGCTCTGTAAGTAAAGATTATTTTATATTTTTTTGTTTAATTTTTTTTAATACGTTTTAGTTGATTAAATTAAACTAATTTTGGTAGTAGTTTCATTTCACCTTAATAAATTTTAGTTACATTTTAGTTTAACATCATGCCAAATAAACAACCACCAACATTTTATGTATAATTTGCTTTTTATAATTAATCAAATTATAAAATACTTTTTTTTTTAAATACAAATATATAGTTAATAAAGTTTTCTAAATTATCTATTGCAGAAAGAGATTGAGGGTCTAGAGGAAACGGTAACCAGCTCAGAATTTGATAAATTTCTTGAAGAACGAGCTGCTGCGGCCGAAAATCTTCCCACTATACAAGCCACTAATAATTTAGATAATGCTCAACAGCTTACAGCAACAGCGGATAAAAATAAATCGAAAAAAGCCGAAGAAGATCTACTATTACTTTGAGCTTATGGTTGTTGGAGTATTTATATAATTTGTTGTTAAAATTTCTACTTTTATTAACTACTTCGTCTGAAAAGAAAAGAAAAAAAACCTCATCAATGAAAGGAAAACAACCAACACACATTATTATAATATTATTAAAATAATATTGGCTTTAATTGTTTATTTACTAAATGTCTAATTCAAAATACAACAACAAGTAATAGATAAAACGATAACTCGATAAACGATAAACAATTTATTTATACATACATATATATATCTAATGATAAAAAACACTCTAACATTACTAATGATATAGAAAAACTAACAAAATAAAAAAATAATTAAAAAAAAGTATTGCTCTTATATATACACACACACACCCACTTAACTTTAACTTATTTCATTAAAAAAAGCGTAAAAACTAAAGTAAAAAATAAACACACAACAACAGCCAACAACAACACACTTTTTTATATGTTTAAATGTGTTTTAAAACTAATAATTTTTGTGTAAAACTTTATTGTATATCATTGTTTACAAATTATGTTTAACTTTATTAATTTTATATCAGAAACAAATTTAAATAATTCCCTTTATGGCTTTAAATTAACTTTATATTAAACTAAAAAAAAAGACCCTCTTTAACAAATTCCTTTTTGTTACAATTTTTGCTCAAGTTTTTGTTTATATTCTTAATGTTAAATGTTAAATTTTGTTTCTTGCTCTATTTCTTTTTAAATTTTTTGCTTTAGTATTTAAAATATATTTAAATTTTAAGTTTTGTTGTTATTATTTGTAATTTTTTTTTTGCTTTAAATTATAATTTATTCGTGTATTTTTTTCAAGTGTATATACAAATTAAAGTCTTATTAAAGACTTTTAAATTATACAAACATTTCATTCATTTTGTTTTATTTGTTTAATTATTTTAAATTCGTTTAATATTTGTTTGTTAACGAGTTTCATTAAGAATATTAATTAAATACTTTATTCAAATTTTATAAGGTTTTTTATTAAATTTTTATTTATTTTTCTTTTTTCCAAAAATAAATATTAAATTATATTCAACAGAATAAAAAATGTTTTTTTTTATTTGAAAATAGAAAGTTGAAAACAGGATTTCAGTTTTGACTAGACTATAGGCTAGATTATAGACTAGAATATAGGCTAGACTAAAGACTAGACTCTAGACCAAACTATTAATCAGACTATATATTTGACTATAGACCAGACTATAGACTACACTGTCTAGTCTATACACCTAGTCTATCTACACTCTATCTATCTATCTATCTATCTATCTATCTATCTATCTATCTATCTATCTATCTATCTATCTATCTATCTATCTATCTATCTATCTATCTATCTATCTATCTATCTATCTATCTATCTATCTATCTATCTATCTATCTATCTATCTATCTATCTATCTATCTATCTATCTATCTATCTATCTATCTATCTATCTATCTATCTATCTATCTATCTATCTATCTATCTATCTATCTATCTATCTATCTATCTATCTATCTATCTATCTATCTAGCTATCTATCTATCTATCTATCTATCTATCTATCTATCTATCTATCTATCTATCTATCTATCTATCTATCTATCTATCTATCTATCTATCTATCTATCTATCTATCTATCTATCTACTATCTATCTATCTATCTATCTATCTATCTATCTATCTATCTATCTATCTATCTAGCTATCTATCTATCTATCTATCTATCTATCTATCTATCTATCTATCTATCTATCTATCTATCTATCTATCTATCTATCTACTATCTATCTATCTATCTATCTATCTATCTATCTATCTATCTATCTAGCTATCTATCTATCTATCTATCTATCTATCTATCTATCTATCTACCTATCTATCTATCTATCTATCTATCTATCTATCTATCTATCTATCTATCTATCTATCTATCTATCTATCTATCTATCTATCTATCTATCTACTATCTATCTATCTATCTATCTATCTATCTATCTATCTATCTATCTATCTATCTATCTATCTATCTATCTATCTATCTATCTATCTATCTATCTATCTATCTATCTATCTATCTATCTATCTATCTATCTATCTATCTCTATCTATCTATCTATCTATCTATCTATCTATCTATCTATCTATCTATCTATCTATCTATCTATCTCTATCTATCTATCTATCTATCTATCTATCTATCTATCTATCTATCTATCTATCTATCTATCTATCTATCTATCTATCTATCTATCTATATATCTATCTATCTATCTATCTATCTATCTATCTATCTATCTATCTATCTATCTATCTATCTATCTATCTATCTATCTATCTACTATCTATCTATCTATCTATCTATCTATCTATCTATATCTATCTATCTATCTATCTATCTATCTATCTATCTATCTATCTATCTATCTATCTATCTATCTATCTATCTATCTATATCTATCTATCTATCTATCTATCTATCTATCTATCTATCTATCTATCTATCTATCTATCTATCTATCTATCTATCTATCTATCTATCTATCTATCTATCTATCTATCTATCTATCTATCTATCTATCTATCTATCTATCTCTATCTATCTATCTATCTCTATCTATCATCTATCTATCTATCTATCTATCTATCTATCTATCTATCTATCTATCTATCTATCTATCTATCTATCTATCTATCTATCTATCTATCTATCTATCTATCTATCTATCTATCTATCTATCTATCTATCTATCTCTATCTATCCATCTATCTATCTATCTCTATCTATATATCATCTATCTATCTATCTATCTATCTATCTATCTATCTATCTATCTATCTATCTATCTATCTATCTATCTATCTATCTATCTATCTATCTATCTATCTATCTATCTATCTATCTATCTATCTATCTATCTATCTATCTATCTATCTATCTATCTATCTATCTATCTATCTATCTATCTATATCTATCTATCTATCTATCTATCTATCTATCTATCTATCTATCTATCTATCTATCTATCTATCTATCTATCTATCTATCTATCTATCTATCTATCTATCTCTATCTATCTATCTATCTATCTATCTATCTATCTATCTATCTATCTATCTATCTATCTATCTATCTATCTATCTATCTATCTATCTATCTATCTATCTATCTATCTATCTATCTATCTATCTATCTATCTATCTATCTATCTATCTATCTATCTATCTATCTCTATCTATCTATCTATCTCTATCTATCTATCTATCTATCTATCTATCTATCTATCTATCTATCTATCTATCTATCTATCTATCTATCTATCTATCTATCTATCTATCTATCTATCTATCTATCTATCTATCTATCTCTATCTATCTATCTATCTATCTATCTATCTATCTATCTATCTATCTATCTATCTATCTATCTATCTATCTATCTATCTATCTGTCTATGCTCTTTTCCTTTAACAACTCTATTAAAATCGATAATTTTTTCATTTTTAATGTTATCGCCTTACCATTGAATATTTAATACAAATTAGTATTGCCAACTTTTACACATTTCATAATCAAAACAAAAACACATGTTTTTGACAGTTAACAACAAAACAATAAACACACTGTAAAACTCTTTTGTAATACAATTTTACAAAGTTTGTTCAAGAAAAATGATAAATTCACGATTATTTCGTTTAATACACGATAAAAGATTAAGTGTACCAGTTTTAAGATGTTTTCATCATGAATTTACCAAGCCGGAACCAGAGAAATCTCTGAAAGAAAAGCAGGAAAAACAAAAAATTCTTCAAGCGGAAAGTGTGAACAACCAGCAGGAGGACAATGATCTAACAAGAGCTTTAGGACAAAAATACAAAATATTTCGAGAGGAAGAATCTCCCGAGATTTTGGATATATTCGAGGAACGTCAACGCTATCAGACTCAAGATGAACCTGACGAAATAGTGGATGATAGTTATGCGGGTTTAAATTTGAAGCGTAAGCAACTTGTAGAAAAAAAGCCGGCATTTTTAATTAAAAAAATTCTAATTTAGGTGGCCTTACCGGTGTTTTCGATATAGAGGATTTGGTGGATGTCTTGCGCAAAGAAAATGCTGAAGATATATTTGTCTGCTCCGTGCCCAAAGAATTGAAATACATAGATTACATGGTGGTATGCAGTGGTCGCAGTTATCGTCATATGTTAGCCATGGCTGAGTTTGTGCGAAGAGTTTATAAAATAAAACGTCAAAAAGGTGATATTTTACCTCGCATTGAGGGCGAAAAAAGTCGTGATTGGATGGCTATGGATTTGGGCAATATAGCTTTACATATCTTTTCACCCATCAAAAGAGAGTCCTATGACTTAGAATCCCTTTGGGCCATAGGCATTGAATATGATCGTGAATTCAATAAACCCCAAGATCCACTGGTGGAGCTATTCGAAAAACATTCCACCTTATTGGCTGATATAAAACCCCAAAAGTAATTGTTACATAATTTAGTAAACTACTTGTTATTTTATTTAGTTTTTATTAACAATTATTTAAATACATTACAAAAAAGAAGGAAACTTAATAATGAACACAAAAAATGCTTATTCTTCTTAAACTACCAATATATACAATTATTTGCTAACTTCTTATGGAAATCAAACAGACTGGGAAATACATAGTTCTTATCGATTCTATCTTCACCGTATTTCTTCATTAAATATTGGGCATTACGTTCATGCACTAAGGCGGCATTCCAACCACAAGCTCTCGCTGCCATATAGTCGGTGGTGGGGCCATCACCTATATGTAGACATTGTTCTGGTTTGAGATCCTTAATATCGGCTGCCTTAATGGCCATACCGAATATTTCCTTATTTGGTTTTTCCTCTTTGCAATCGTATGAATTTAAAATGAAATCAAAATAATGATCAATTTTAAGATTTTTCAATAGAACTACTAGACGTGGATCGAAATTAGCTATGACGCCCATGGCAAAGGGTGGCTGACGATTGGGTGATTCCTTCATGCCCAGCTGCTGTTGCATGCGCAAGTAATTGAGTAAATCAATGCTGCCATTACAGTGTTCCCAACATGAGGTCGATTTGTATAAGTCCAACAAGTGATTGGTGAAGTTTTCGATTTTATCATCTGGAATTTTGGCGCCACATTCATCAAAGGTATCTGAAAATAGAGGACAGTTGAGTGTAATTTCAAAATAGACTATTGGCGAAACTATAGAATACTAGACTATAGAATAGATGAAAGACTAGACTATAGACTAGAAGATAGACTAGACTACAGAATGGTCTATAGAGTGCACTATAGACTTGACTATAGACTAGACTACATATATTAGACTATAGACTAGACTTTTGAAAGGAAAGGACTTGCTTTTAGCTTATGTTTCTATTTATAGTTACTCTAAAAAAATCTTTTCATAAGTTTTTTGAAATCTTTTGTTTACTAACCGAAATTCTAATCTAATAAACTCTAAACAATAACATTAAGAAATCTTATCAGTTATATTTATATATGTATATTATTGTATTATATCTCTACTATATTGGCGCATGTTGGGACAGACGTCAAAATTATCACACATTGTTTTAGAAATCTTTAGGGGATAATTTAAAATATAACAATAAAAACAATCAGTAATCTATGGTAATGGAATATTTCTGTTGATTCATGTTCTAAACAAGATTTTATACCAAATTACAACTATAAATTGTTAATGTTAAAAGATAATTTCTTAAAACACATGGCAAATTTATGATTTTAAAAAAGTTTTGGAAAATTTGATATTAGGAATCAGTTTCAGCTTAACATTTTGTTAGAAATACTGACTAAAACCGGTTACAAATAAAATATCTATTACTCCAGAACATTTTGGAAGTTTTTTAGATGAAGGGTATAACAAATTCGTTAACAAAGAATTTTATTTTTGTTCTTATCATAATAAGTATGTAGATTATCTATTGCAAATTATCTAACTGGGCCAAAACAAAACATTTTAATACAATTTATAAATTTTTTTTCTACGTTTTGTTTACAAATTGTTTATTGAACTTGAACTTTGGAAAAGGAAGAGAAGACACGTACGACATTTTATTATAAAGGAATTTTTCGATAAATGATCTTTTTTTTAGAGAATGTTCGATAAATTCTATATTATTATGCAGAATCTTAGATAAATTTTCTATTTTAAGAAAATTTTCGTTGAATTCTTTCTGTCATTTTAGAGAATTCTCTCTTTTTTAGGGAATTTTCGATAAATTCTTACCTTTTAGGGAATTTTCGATAGTTTTTCACTATTTGGAGAATTTTGAAAAAATTCTCATTTTTTAGAGAATTTTCAATAAATTCTCACTTTTTGGAACATTTTTGATAAATTTTCTGTTTTTTTAAATTTTCGATAAATTCCGTCTTTTTAGAGAATTCTCGATAAATTCTCTCTTACTTTTTAGAGAATTTTCGATAAATTCTTACCTTTTAGGGAATTTTCGATAAATTTTCACTATTTGGAGAATTTTCAAAAAATTCTTAATTTTTAGAGAATTTTCGATAAATTCTCACTTTTTGGAGAATTTTTGATAAATTTTCACTTTTTAGAGAATATTCGATTAATTCTCACTTTTAAGAGAATTGCGATAAATTCTCAGTTTTTACAGAATTTTCAATAAATTCTCAGTTTTTACAGAATTTTCAATAAATTCTCAGTTTTTACAGAATTTTCAATAAATTATATTTTTTTTTGAGAATTTTCGATAACTTTACAGTTTCTAGAGAATTTTCGATAAATTCTCACTTTTTAGAGAATATCGATAAATTCTAACTTTCTAGAGAATTTTCGATAAATTCTCACTTTCTAGAGAATTGTTAATTTGTCTCTCTTTTTGGAGAATTTTTGATAAATTCTAACTTTTAAAAGAATTTTCGATAAATTCTCACTTTTTAGAGAATTTTTGATAAATTCTCACTTTCTAGAGAATTTTCGATAAATTCTCACTTTTTAAAGAATTTTCGATAAATTCTCACTTTTTAGAGAATTTTCGATAAATTCTCACTTTTTAAAGAATTTTCGATAAATTCTCACTTTCTAGAGAATTTTCGATAAATTCTCACATTCTAGAGAATTTTCGATAAATTCTCACATTCTAGAGAATTGTCAATTTGTCTCTCTTTTTGGAGAATTTTTGATAAATCCTCATTTTTTGGAGAATTTTTGATAAATCCTCATTTTTTAGAGAATTTTCGGTAAATTCTCACTTTTTAAAGAATTTTCAATAAATTCTCACTTTTTATAGAATTTTCGATAAATTCATTAATTTGGTAAAATTAATTTTTTAACACTTGACCTTTGACCTTGCGTATTTTCATTAAAATTTGTCAAAAAATTATCATATTTTCCTAATTTTTAAAAAGATTTTCAATCATTTCTTAAATTTTCAAACAGATATTCAATAAAATATTTAACATTGTAATGATATTCAATATTTTAAATAGATAACTTTTTATGAAATTAAACAATTGACAACTTATATTTTCAATTTATGGTAAAAATTTTGATCTTCCGTTTTAATAGTTAAAATGATCTACACGCGATATTAATGACGATTTCAAAACACAATTGTCCATTAATTTTGCACACAAATTTCTTTAAGTGTAAGTGTGCTATTTTCTTTCAATTAAGAAAAATGTACAATTGTTAAAAAATTGATTGAATACACACTTTCAAAATTATGAACTTTAACCCAGCAAGATACAACTCTTAATAATTGTCACAAATTTTTTGTCAGTGAAAATTCACTATTTTCACTTAATTTAGGAATTTTTTTTTTCAATTAATTTACTATGTACCACAAATCTTAGTATTTTTTTAATTAATTTATATTTTAGATTTCACACTCATTGCACACTTACGTGATATTAACTCACGCCACCATTGCTGCCAGTCCATTAAAGCTGAGGTTCTGCCAAAATTTGGATATAAACGATTCATTTTGTGCCTGCGATTAAATTTTCATCGAAATTATAATATTCTATTTAAACAAATTAAAAAAATACACACCAATTGGATTTAAAACTTTTAGCCAAATCATCATTATCACATAAAACCCCAAAAAGAGCACCAATTTCTCCATACTGTTTACCGGGACTGGTGCGAAATTTCAGCAGAGTATTAGTGACATCAAAGGTTATTAAACGTAAACGTGCTAAACTGCTGGTCATATTTATTTAAATTAATTTTCAATTTACTACAACTTATTGATTTTCAATTAAAAACTTTATTTGTTATTAACTCCAATTGTAATTCTTTCCGTTTTAAGATAGCAAGTAGTGTTTGGGGTTGCTTCGCTCAACAGCTCCCAATAACTGATTGACTAGATGGTTAGACTGACTAAAGCTTTCTGTGCTACTGAATGAAGTACTCGATCGTATAACAATAACAAACTTTTTTTATAACACAAAAATATAAATACTTGTTCGTACAACAATCTAAATTAGTTTATTTCAAATAAATAAAAAATAAAACTCAACTCAACTGAAAACGAAACTGAAACTGATTATTGCTATTTTTGCTACTTTCTTTCCAGTCGTTCGTCCGTCCATGTGTCTATCCGTCCGTCCGTTCGTCCCAACATCGGTCTATCAGTTTGTCTATCTGTCTTTTCTTTAATCTTCTCTCATGTTCTATACTTTATATTACTGTTATTGTTGTTGTTGGCTTTACTGGTTGTGTGATAAGCCGACTTTTTTGCCCCCTCTGTCTTTATATTATTTCGGTTTAATAATGGAACGAACGTCATTTGTTTCTGATATTTCGTACACATGTCGTTGAGAAGGAGGGAGATTGGTGTGGATGGGTAGAAGTATGCTGATGATGATTTCGTATTCAATCGTTATGTCAAATTATGGAAGACGTGCATTATTGAGGAAAACAAAAACTGTGTAGTCATACTAGAACATAATAAAAAATAAACATAAACATTAAAGTAAAACGCGAATAAGGTAGACAATTAAAATACCATACTTTATGAAAGGGGAATAGAAAAAAGATCGATTCAAAAGTCTCCGGTCTAGTTTAGAGAGTAGTCTATAGCCTAGTATATAGTCTAGTCTATAGTCTAGTCTATAGTCTAGTCTATAATCTAGTCTATAGTCTAGTCTATAATCTAGTCTATAATCTAGTATATAATCTAGTCTATAATATAGTCTATAATATAGTCTATAGTCTAGTCTACAATCTAGTCTATAGTCTAGTCTATAGTCGAGTCTATAGTCGAGTCTATAGTCTAGTCTATAGTCGAGTCTATAGTCGAGTCTATAGTCGAGTCTATAGTCGAGTCTATAGTCGAGTCTATAGTCGAGTCTATAGTCGAGTCTATAGTCGAGTCTATAGTCGAGTCTATAGTCGAGTCCTATAGTCGAGTCTATAGTCGAGTCTATAGTCTAGTCTATAGTCCTAGTCCTAGTATAATAGTCTAGTCTATAGTCATAGTCGAGGTCTATGTCCTATATAGTCTAGTATATAGTCTAGTCTAGAGTCTAGTCTATAGTCTATCTATAGTCTAGTCTATAGTCTAGTC